TTGACTTTTTCTGAGAAGGGAACCATGTACCCGTTCCCAGACAGGTGCATGCACATGTCCCACCTCCACGGTCCCATTCAGACACGCATGCAGCGCAGCCGGCCACATGTTAGGGCAGGAGCAGCGGACTCAGCCTCTCATTTATCACCGCTCTGGCTGCACTTGCACAAAAGCACTCGAGCTTAGCCTCACTCACCAGAGAGCCCGGGATGTATCTCAGCATCAAGTATTTACCCAGCTTCTCAGGCAGGTTTCCCAGCTATGCTGGTGCCCACCCCTCTTTTCAGCCAGTTCAGGTATGTGTACACAAACGGCAACCGCCCACCGACTAGTGCAGACAGATCCTTTGCCCGTCTGCACATCAGCGAAGCAGACCTCTGCTCCCAGCTCTGGGGGGAAGCCGCGGTGTGGCAGCACCGACACCCCTCGGACGCTTCTCCAAGGCACAGCCACATCCCCGTTGCCCCCCAGGTCCCTCCCTGGGGTGTCCCCAGGAGCTGATGGTGCACTGTCCCCATGGCATCTCCCTCCAGCACCTACTCCCTGGGTTTGTATTAGCCAGAGAATCTAGAAATACAGCAGGGATCGGGAGCAAGTGTTCCCACTTGCAAGAAGCAGAGGAGCAGATGTGCTAGGTGCTGAGACTGCAGCTACGTGGATAGTAAACCAGGCACCAAATTATTTGGTCTCTAAAAGGAGTTCTCGCCCTAGCTGCCCCAACAATGGGAAGGGCAGTTGTGCCCAAGAAATAAATCTCGTCAAAAATTAACCCAGGAAATGGAACCAGAGCGAGGCAGCATGAGGGGTTTGTGTCAGAGCAGAGGACTGACCCAAAACCAAGGTCTCTGCTCTGCACCCCAGCCCAACTTTTCAAACATTTGGTATCAGCCCAGTCTCAGGACAGCATTTACAGCACGGGTTTGAGCAGGTCACCTGGATCAGTTCTGTGACAGCTCCCAGGTTTTCCTCATGGGCTTCCCACCTAGGGAGAGGTGCACATGTGTGCCTTGCAGGTCCCACATTTGAACGGCAGGACCTGCTGCTCCAGGTTGCCCCAGTGCAGCCAAAAGCAGGTGGGATCACCGGGACCATGGCACAGCTCCTGCGGTCACATCACAGCCCGGGCACATGTCCCCACCCTGGGGCACTGGGGCATAACAGCTTCCCTGGCACAGCCCGTAGCCATGGAGAGGTGGGCAAAGCCTTTCTTGACTGAGACCGGGAAGCAGAAGAAGCGACAGCACCAGATAGATTGAAGCACAGGCTGAGTGCTGCGTTAATTGGCATCTCCCTGCACCGCCTCCGGGCCTGGGGGAGGCAGTGGAAGTGCTCGGCAGCAGGTCACGACCAAGTCACCCCTGGGCCACGCGGGTGCAAGAGAGGACCATATTTTAACACCACCTTATTCCACCGCATACATAAAACACAACATGCCGTGTATTATGCACATGTATGCAATGCAATAAATACATAATGCATGTTATGTACATTACAACACGTTATTAAATTCAACACAAACAAGCAGGTCCCATCTCCAGCTTGCTCAAAGGACGGGCGCAGGAGCGTGCAGCTGGGGGTAGATGCAGCTCTCCCCAGCCCCTCGGCCACGATGTGCCCCAGGTATGCTTCCAGGAGAGGATACAGCCCTCCTGCACCAGCCTCCTGCTGCTTGATACCAGGCTTGGAGCAGCGACAGCCCTGCAGAGGAGCGGGAGGATGCTCAGCAACCCTACGGGGTGCAAAGTCCCCTTGCCCGCTCCAGACTCTGCCGCTGCTCATCCTGCAGAGCCCGCATGGGTCCGACCTGCCGTGGGCCCAGCTGCCGGGGCCTCTGTGCAGCTCCCAGGTTAGCTGTGCCCTCGTAGATATTAGGACCATCTCGTTTCTCCTTTCACATTTTTTGGTACACGGTTGGCTTTCCTCCAACCCTCGGGAAACTTGCCAGCGCTGCAAGGTTTATGAAAAGTTAACTCCAAAGGGGTGAAGAGTGCCTTCATTTTTTTTTCTCTTGCATGTGAGTTAGCCAGGCTGTTGATTTTGAAATCCATAACTCCCATCCTCGGCTCCCCCCCCCCCAAATACCTTGGAAGTATCACTACTCCAGATATGCCACACCATACAAGCAGCATATGTGAGCAGGAATACAAAGAGAAGCCGTTAGTGATAGCAGTACTGTTACCAACTGGTGTGGGATCCAGACCCTTCCAGGACTCCTTTGTTCTTGACTTTCTTTAAAAACACACACACACACACAAAAAAAAAGCTTTCCTTTTATAAGCCTGAACTTTCTCAGCCACAGATACGTTACCTTGCAATTGCCTTAACAACTGTATGCAATTCTTAACCTCTGCTTTATGTACATTGTCATCCACCTCCCTGTTTTCCATATTGATTTATGTTTTACGTTCTTTTCACATTTCCTTTTAACAGAGCCTTCTTTAACCAAACAGCCTTTCCTCCTGAGCCTGAGACATGCATTCTGCTGGCCAGTGAGTAATCAACTTCCAATTTTCATGCACACTCCTGTTTATATTTCCTTCCCTATCGGCTTTGTTTCTAATTAAGGTTTGTTAAATGCAAGTGAATATATAGTGTACAGAGAAATATAAAGCATGTAGATAAATAAACACCACACACACACACACACTGACTAAGACTGTATTCTCAGTGCACTTTCAACCACGGATCCCAAAGCACTTTGTCATGTTCATTAACAAAACCTCGCAGCTCCCTTGGGAGAGACGCTTGTATTATTTTACGCCTTGTAATTAGGAAAACTGAGGCACAGAGGAGACAAGTGAAATTACCGGCATTACAGAAAAGCTCTGTAGCAGAGCTGAAAACAGGACTCAGGAGGCAGGATCCCTGGGCAAATAACCAGAACTCATTTTTCCCTGAATGTGCCCTGCTCTCCCCATTTTGGCCCTGGACACACTGGGGAATGTGCCTAGAGCCAGTGACAGCCACGCAGGGGGACATCGCCACTGCGGAGGTGCCCAGCAGGGTCCAGCCACCATCTCCTTGGTCATCGGGCACCATTGGGTGAGTCTGCATGCACCAACAAGGGCCCAGAGCATCAGGAAATGCAGATGGACACCGTATCCATGCATGGCACGGAACATCGGGATGAGCCACTGCCTGAAACAGCAGCTCCCAGAGGGAAGGAAGGAGCAGAGGTGCACCACGGGGGCTGCATCCCATGCTCTTTTGCCTCACCAGCTCTCTGGAAGGCTTTGCAAGGAGAAAAAGGCCAGGACGTGGTAGCTGGTTGCCCACAGCAGCGCTGCAAGCAACCACAACCCCAGGATACACACAACGTGGACAAAGGTAGCAGCAAGGCCACTGAGAGGAACCCCCCAAACCTTAGACGAGGCGTTCAGTCAGATGGGAACGGCTGCTGGAGCCCAGCAGAGAAGCAGCCCTCTCCCCAGAGTATCCCCACCTCTGCGGGAACACATCTCACAGCGATCATCTCTAGGGTGGGCTCAACCTCCCACCAGCGCTTACTGTCCCCTTGCCCCCAGGTGCCTACTCCCCATCCCTTGAATCCAGCATTCGTGCAACCACCTCCTGTTCCTGCTGGGCCACCCGTGCCCCTCACATCTTCAAGCAAGCACACAGCAGCCCCAGGGCCAGGAATGAGCCCCGCACCGCCCGGCATCACCCCGTCGTGTCACCCCATCCCTGCACAGCCACCTGCATCCCTCCCTGCCCATAGTCAGCGGCACCACCTCGGCGTGGCCGATCCCTCCCGGGCCCGGCTGGCTGAGCAAACGCCGTGCTAAGTGGCAATGCTGCCGGCTGATCGGGCCACGCATCCCATGTGGACACATATGCTCCCACAAACATGCTCATCACCACCACCACCACCACCACCCCCCCCTTAATTAAAACCATACAAGGCTCATTTGAATAGCAGAGCTGGCTAGCGCTCTCCGATGCAACGTAAATAGTCCTATTTATGCCAAGCTCCCATATTGTAAATATCACGACGTATAGCTGGCCAACCCATGAGTCATCTCCCAAAACTCCAACTTAATAAATGGTGCCTCATCCATGTTCCAGACAAACACCGGCCGTGCAGCTCCCACCGCCCGGCGCCTCCACGCCCAGGGCCAGCAGCGAGCACCCGGCGAACCTCGGGGGTCCTCCGCAGCCCCCTCGCTGGCTTCGCCGCAGCTCTCCCATGCAGGGCAGCCACGCGTTGGGCCTGGCCAGCCTTCAGCCCGGCGTCTGGAGCTCACCCCCAGCCTGGCGTGGTCCTTCCTGGGGTGTACCCAAGGCGCTGCTGAGATGCGCTCGGGCACAGGACCCCCAAAACCCCCCTTTGGGGAGATGGGGGCTCCTGCCCGGCGCCTTCTCCACGCACCCACCCCGCACTCTGTCCGCACCTGCCGCCTGCCTCTGCTTTGTCTCGGCACGGGGGAAATTGGGGAAGTCGGTGGGGAGCCCGGCTCCTCTTGGGGAGGCCGGGAAAGCCGCGCACGCCTGCGGGGAGCTGGCTCCCAGCTCCGGGATGCCGGCAAGGCCTGGCTGTGTGCGCCCCGGCAGCGGGCACGGTGCGGCGGAGCTGCCAGCCGGGCATCCCTTGGGGGGAGAGGCTCCGCCGTGCCCAGAGAGCACCCGGGGAGGTGCCGGCGAGGGATGCCCAAAGCTGGGCAACAAGGGACGGCGGAGAAAAGGGGCAGGAGAAAGCCACGCAGCCACCGGGAGGGTCCGGGCAGCTCTCCCCACCCCCCCACCCACCCCAAAACCGAAGGGCTCCGGATGCGGCACCTCCACCTGGGGCAGCACTTCCCCGAAACTTCGCCTCCCCTCCGGCGGCACGGAAGGGGTGCGGCGGGAGAGGAAGAGAAGAGGAGAAGAGAGAGGGGAGGGGGGGGAGGGAAGGCGAAGTGCCACCTCCCGAAAAAAAAAAAATAATAAAAAAATAATAATAAAATAAAATGAATAAAGGGGAGAGGGGAGCGATAGCAGACACAGAGCCACACACGCCTTACCTTCCACGGCGGCGAGCAGGGGCAGCAAGGCGAGGGGCAGGCAGCAGAGCCACAGCGGCCCCATGGTGCGCGCCGGGCCGGGCATCAGACGCGGCGCTGCCGGCGCTCCATGGAAGCCGGGGAGCGGCGGCGGCGGCGGCAGCGGAGCTCCGAGCCCAGCTCCGAGCCGAGCCCCTCGCTGGGGCCGCCGCCGGCGCGGGCACGGCCGCGGGCACGGAGCTCACCGCCGGCCCCCGCCGTCGCGGCCGGGCCGAGCCCACCGCCGCCGTTCTCCGGGGAGAGCCCCCCCAGCGCCGCCCGCCCCGGCCCCGGGCTCCGCGCAGCCGGCGGGGGGCGGCGGGGGGCGGCGGGCGGCGGTGATTTTGGGGAGGGGGAGGCGGGGATGGGGGAGGAGGGGAGCGGAGGAGGTGCGGGAGATGGTGGAGGAGCGGAGGAGGAGGGAGGAGGCTCCCCCCCAGGCCGCCGATGGTTTGTCCCGGAGCTGTCGATCATGCAGAGAAAGCCGTGATTTCAGCCCAAATCTTCCCGGCGGGGTTGACCGAGCGCTTGAGAAAGTGGAAAGGGAGGGGGGGTGACGGGGGCGAGGTCTGTCTGTCCGTCCCCCCCTCCACACCCCCTCCGGGGGATGCGCTCTCTGCTCCGCTCTGGCCGCCGCACGGGGCTCCGCCGAGGTGGTGCCGGGGGGGGCATCCCCGCCCCGAGCCCCCCCACCCCACCCAACAACACACACCGTGGGGCAGGGCCCCTGCACCCCCCCGGCAGCCAAAGGAGAGCGTCTGGAGGGACGTGGAAACGGAGCCGGCCCCAAAGCAGCGCCTCGTTACCGGCTGGCGCAGCCTGGCTTTGACCCCGAGACTCTCAGGGGTCAGCGACCCCACTGGGGTGTGAGCAGGGATTCCCCCATTTCCAGGCTGGGGGGGTTGGGAGCTGGTCACAAGCCCTCATAGCGGGTTGGGGCAAGTGAGAATGTTCCTTAAAGCTGCGAGCTGAGGCCCAGCTCCGTGTCTCCGTCGCGAACACGCGACATCCCCAACTTCCCCATGCGCCTGGAAGCCCAATCTGCCCATTAGGGACCTCGTGAGCCAAAGCCACCAAAATGTCTAAGCTGGAACCTCTTGAATTCCCTGACCGGTTCCAGGTAACTCGTTTCCTGCCAGCTGCAGCTGTGTTTGGAGGAGGTCAAGGCTCCCTGGTGGTGGCGGCCAAAGGCATGTGCGTCAGCAGATGACCTCCCGTAACTCAGCGTGACCAAGGGCAGGCTCTGGTCCCCTTTTGGGAGATCCTACAGCTGGAGGTTGGCACCAAGCTCAATGCAGCAGCCTTCTGAGGATCCTGTGGGCCAGCTCCATCGTGTTGTCCTCAGGGTTTCCTCACACGTTGTCTGCTCCCAGGCTCTGTAGTGCACCCCTCGCTCCCCGTGGCTCCGGAGCACCCAAAATTTCCCGTCGGGTAGGAAATGGTCTGTTCATTTCCAAACTCTTCAGACCATACCCTCAACCTCTCCTGGTCCCAGGGCTGTTGTGCAGTGTGATGCTCTCAGGTATGTCCCTGAGGATCCACCACAGATCTCCGGAGTTGATCCCACAAGCCTGGAGTCCGAGACTCTCAGGATTTTCTTACAGCTCTCCAGGCCTGTGCTGTCGGGGACAGAGGGGATTTTGTCCCAGAGGAGCCTTCTGTCTTCTGGAGACCTTCTGTCTTCTTCAGCTCCTTCTCTGAGCATCCCCTTAGACTCCTAGAGACTGGATTTTGGAGCAAACAGATTTATTGTCTGACCGCTTGCAGTGACTTTGAAGCTCACATGTACTCTTTGGAGTCTCTTTTGTCCCCAGAAAATGCTCTTCAGAGTCAGTCATGAACTGCTGAGCTCTGGTCCCGTCTCATGTCTTCTCTCTGCTCCCAGGAAGGGCCTTCAGTGACCGTCATATTCCCTGTGGTGTTCATGGAATGGCCTCTCAAGGCCTCACAGGAGTTTGCAGTCTGCACAAGGGGTGCCACCAGCCTCCACCCTCTGTCCCATAACCCAGCAGCTCCAAGTGGTCTCGACAAGTGCCGTGAAATGCCACCCCATGGTGATGGACACCAGACCTCCCCCAGTGTCCTTTCCTTTCATTCCACCCCAAGTCCATTTCGGCGTCCTCCATAAATGAAGGTCACAGCACAGGGGGGCACTAATGCCCGTGCAGCACCGCCCAGGGATCCTTAAACCCCGCTGCAAGGAGCGCTAGGTGAAGCCTGGTCCTGGGAAAGCAGCAGCACTGGGGTGACAGAAATGGGACAGCTTCGACTGCGCGCTGGTTCCCAGGCAGAGCCATAAGAGAGATGGCATCTAGAGGACATTAAAACGGGTTTGATGGTGACTCACCAGCAGCTCCTGGTGCAGGAAGAACAGGTTGTATTTGCACATGAAGCCCTTGGCTCATCACACCTGGAGGAAGTGGCTTCGTGTCTCTCCCTGCGAGGTTAAAGAGGCGCAGCAGCAGGCGACCGACAGGAGCTGAGGGAGATGCTGTGGGAGGCTGATGGGGCAGGTGAAGCTCTCTCCAGTCCTGCTGCCAGCTTGGTGGGAGCAAACCTGCTCCTTGCTCTGTGCAGTGGGTGTTGTGGAGCTGTCGTGCGTGGGCTCTAGGCTCAGTGGGGCCGTGCCAGAGCCAGAGGTGGCACCTTCCAAGGAGTCCTGGCCACCACGAGGACCCAGGAGAAGATTCCTCTTAAAAGCCCAGGGAAACCCTTTCCCCCAGAGCTACTTAATCACGCTCAGGCCCCCAAAAGAGGAAGAGAGATGTTCATTTGGGTGGCGAGGATGGGGAACGAGTCCCCTGGTGGCACTTGGAGCAGTAAATCTGCCCGTGAGGACCCACCGAGCGCAGGCAGGCGGCTGGTTGGGGCCTGTGGCAAGGCACCCTGCGGGAAATCAGCACCCTCGCTCATGTCCCTGCATGCGAGAGGAAAGCTTTCCAGCTCCCGGCTGAGTCCCTCGGGCTCTGCGGAGCCTTGAGCTTCCAGGGGCAGGTTGGGAGGAGGAAAACACTAGCATATTTTTACAGAAATTGGAGTCTCCCTGCAGCAGCAAATCCCATAAAAGCAAAACCCAAGTGAAAAGCAGCTTCAGCTGTTCTGGCTCTGGCTGTGACGGGCTTGGCCCCAGGCCAGTAAGTTAATTCTGCCTATTAACTAATAGTGTAGTATTGTCGGCAAAGACTCATTGCTAAACTTATGTTTTTAAGATATCACTTATCATTTAAACACTTAACTCTTGATCCCCGAACATGTACAGGCACCATGTAGCCCTGCAGCCATGCTGCAGATAACCCAAGTCACTGCTGGTTGGGGAGGCTGGGCAGTGTTTAACCCTTTTTCCCCGAATACTTTGTCTGAATGATAAATTGTCTTGGGCAGCACTATCCAAAGGAGAGCAGGCCCTCCTGCTCAGGGGCCACTTATTATCACCTACTTAATGTTCCCCAGCTCAGCAGGGATGCAGGAACTGTTCCCAATAGCATTTTTTCCTAGCCTCAGTCAAGGGTGTGTGACCAGCAAGAGACCCCACAGCAGGACGTGGCTGTAGCCTGACACAAGACCCCGAGCAGAGCCCCTTCTTTGTCCTTCCCTGCCTTTTCTCCTCGCCCCAGTGCCCAAAAGGCTGCCGGAGAACCACGCGGGGTCCCTGGGGAGGAGGTCGGGGAGCAATAGGGATGCCCCAGGGCTACCCAGCACCTCTGGGAGGAAGATCCCCACTTCCCAATCCATATGGGAAAGGGGCATTATTCAGGGTGCTCAGACCCCCTTCCCTCTCCATCCTTCCCCCAGAGCAGGCCACATTTTTCCCCAGATTTACCGGGCTACGGCCTCCAAATCAAAGGAGGTGGCCAGGCTGCCAAGCGCAGCCACCCCCGCCCCGCTGGGGCTGTGGGGAGGGAGGTTTCTCTCTGCAGAGCTGCATCAAGATAAGGCTTTTTTGCATCCCCTTACGCTTTGTGCAGATAGATACCTGGCCCTGGGTGGCTCGTGCTGAAATGTGACACTCGGAGCCTTCCTTGCTCGACCCGTTCAGCTTGTTACAGGGTCCTAACGGAGGGAGCAGCAGCTCCCTCTCCCCTCCAGCTCTTTTCCTCCAGCATTTCTGAGCTCCTCCGCTGGTAAATGAAAGATTCCTGCCTGCCGTGCACTTTGATGCTACCTGGAGCCAGGAGCGGGGCTGAGACAGAGAAGCAGCAAGGAGGAAGGCAAGTGGATGGCACGGGTCATGCAAACATCGCCCTGTGCCAGGACCCCCAGGAATGCTGCAGAGCCCTAGAAAAGCTTCAGGCAAGGATTTTATCTCTACGGGGAGACAAGCGTGGCTGCAGAGAGGAGCGAGGAGTGAAAGGTAGCTTTATTTTTGTTGCCGTTGCAATATCTGAAGTCTTAGATTTTCAGAGCCTTCAGCTAAATTAGGAAGCAAAAGTCAACTGGTAGATTGCTCTAAAGATTTGAAGAGCATTGCACTCCGAAAATGAATGTAACTTTTGAATGGTATCCATGGGAACAAATTAAAGAGAAGAGGCACTTTTGAAGCATTTAAAACAGATTTAGAAATCTAGAATTGGGCAGAAAAATTGGATATTTTGTTCAACAGCTAATTTGACACCAAATTATGACAGTCAGAGACAAACATGGGCAGGCAAAGCTCAGGTTAGGTATTGTAGAAATGATCTGCTTGTGGTTGCATGTTAACTGGCTGCAGAGTTAAAAGAAACTTTTGGAAGAATAAAGCTCCTTTAGGGCTACAAATATGTCGAGTCTTCTTGGAAAAGTGGGCATCAGAAATGAGTAGGATTTTACAGAGATAGGAAGAAAAAAACTTAGATAGAAGAAGGCCAAATTAAATAAAAGCATAGAACTAACAAGGAACCCCTAATTTCCCAGAATGTAGAGAAATTCAGTGATCAAGATTACAAGTTATTACTTTAAGTTTTTAAAAATACATAAATAAAAAAGGGATTGAGATACACAGCAAAGAACGGGTGGAGCCATCGCCAGAATATAATGTTATGTATGTAAATCTAATCCAGAAGATTTTACAACCATGAGTCATGATTGGCAGAAGGTAGTTTTTGTATTCTGGAAAATATTTTCTTTTCAACCCTTGATTATTTTACAGTTAACCAGAAAGAGCTATGTTAGTGAACAAAACTGCCCAGTAGTTAATCTCTGATAACAAAACTGCCAGGCCTTGCATATTGGCAGAGGAAATGACATAAAAGGACGCAACATTTAATTGCTGTAATTTTTAGAGATTTGTAAAAGTAAAGGATGTAACTCATGCTATTCTGTGGCAGGGCAACCACAATCCAGAATTCTTCTGGAAAATAGTTTTGGAGTTGTTTGAAGGAAACTAGAAAAGCTGGAAAGTCAAACTCGGGTCTCTGTTTAATACTATAAAATTACAGGGTGGCATCCTTGAAATTGAAAATGCTGAAATGGCATTTAATAGGAAACTGGGGAGAAAACTACCTGTTTTTTGTCATTGTCGGTGTTAAAAATAGGAGTTTTGCAAATGCTTACGAACACTATGGAAAAAA